ATCACGTGTGCTTATCACGTGCCTTAAATTTGAAAATAAAAGAGGTATAGCGGCACCGCTTAATCAGCGGATTACAGCTGTCGAGCCTGATTTTCAGGTGTTCCACATATTCCTGGCAGAAACCCTCCAATATGTGTGCAGTGTCTAGCTTGCTCTGAAGTCGAAGTACCTATCGTTTTGCTCTGCACGCAGGGGTGCCCGGCACACAGGGAGGGAGGTTACTTGATAGGTAGAACGGCGCTAAACCGGAAGGGGAAGTGCGGCAGCACCCGTTATTCTGTTGTAGAAACACCTGTTGACATCCATGGGTATAATTCTGCTTGTAATACAATGTATTCCCAACAACGTGACGATGAGCATTCGAAAATTTTCATCGTTAAGGATCCTTCGCCATGAAAATCCATTGGTGAGAGTTCCGCATCTGTCGTCCTGATCGCCATATTGACCGTGTAAAGGGGCTTCCAAGCTCGCGCGCTCCGCCTCAGATCCCCCGAATGCAGCGAGGACTGCCGCAAAAACGACGAATTCCAGACGTAAAGAAAGTCATTGTGGTCTCGTCAGCCAAAGGCGGCGTTGGGAAATCTACCATAGCCGGTGAATGCGACCGATAAAAAATTAAGCATCACGATGCTGACTTAGCCGTTAGCAAACCTTGCTCTGGCATTTGCTCGAAGAGGTTTACGGACGGGGATTCTAGACACCGATATATTTGGTCCCTCGATCCCTACGCTCTTCAACATCTCAGGAGAGCCACGGCTGTCCACCAGTACGGCAACCCTTCCACAGTGTACCCTACGAATGCTCATCTCCTGCAGACAACCAACTAATTCCCCTTTCGAATTATGGAGTAAAATCCATGTCGATGGGCTACCTCGTTGGAGAAGATGCACCAGTCGTCTGGCGTGGGCTCATGGTCATGAAAGCATTGCAGCAACTGCTCCATGAAGTCGAGTGGGGCGGACTAGACCTGCTCGTCCTTGACCTTCCGCCAGGGACAGGAGATGTCCAATTGACAATTTCACAGCAAGTGGAAGTGGATGGTAAGCGCATTCAACTTGAATCTGGCATCTGTGCGCTAACAGATGATTCCCCTCCAGGAGCTGTCATCGTCTCAACACCTCAGACATTGTCCGCTCTCGACGCCATCAAAGGCGTCAACATGTTCGGCAAGGTCAACGTCCCCATCCTTGGTCTCATCCAGAACATGTCCGTCTTCATCTGCCCCCACTGCTCCGAGAGCACCCATATATTTGGGTCGGGGCCGCTTGAGAAGAAATGTCGAGAGCTCAACCTTCCCCTGCTCGGTGATATCCCTCTCGACGGCAGGATTTGTGAGGATGCGGATCGTGGGATGCCGACTGTGGTGGCGGATCCTAAAGGTGTCAGAGCCCAGGCTTTTGGGCAGATTGCACAAAATATTGGGGAATTAATAGGACTGGATGTGAAATAATTAAAAGAGGTGGAATACCTTGTAATATAGGTGTCATTTTTTTGGTGTTGTAATTACTAACCAGTACCATGGGGAATGAAATGTGTGGATTTTACCTATCAAGACATCCGACATCGATTTCTCCTTCTTCTCTCCTTCTTGTTAATTGCTGTTCCAGGATCCGCTGTTAACTATGAGTTCCACGCACATGTCGAAACTTTGAAAACGCGAGCAGAGGCCGATAGGCCGAACGCCGAGACGTGAAATGGGGACCGTTAGGTCAAAGTTTGGTGTATGGAGTCTACCGGTAGCTTCCTAGGTGCTCTGCTAGTATTGCTGCGCCCCGGTCCATATCGGCAGCAATGCAACTCTCGCCAGCAGCGTAGGAGGTGTTCGACGAGCTCCCTCTGAACTTGGTCCCTAGATGGGCTACCATCCCACGGGAGAAGTGCGCGAATCGAGAGAGTATATCTGTGCTCAGATGGCGGCCTGGCTCCAAGAAGAAGCTCCGCAGACACACAAGGTCCCTAAGCCTTCAAGCGTAAGGCACAGGGTTCGAAAGGGGGGGTTCGAAAGGGGGGGTTCGAAAAGGGGGGTTCGAAAAGGGGGGTTCGAAAAGGGGGGTTCGAAAAGGGGGGTTCGAAAAGGCGGAAGGGGTTGGGTCTCGTCGCGCCGCGGGAAGTGGTGGAAAAACCTCTTGCCACGAATGCTAGTTCACTAACCATGACATTCTAGTCTAGGCGGGCGAGATTCGAGAGGATGGCAGCGATGGCGCGAGGAAGGGTGGATGCCGACGAAAGGGCCGTGGACAAAGCGTCGTCTCGGGCAAGGGCATCGGAAATTGAGGAGCGGAATTCTCTCCTTGGCTAACGATAAAGCATGATTTTCTAAAGCTGGCCGGACCGTGTTCAGATGATGATGGAGCTATGGTACCGGAACCCTATCCGAGAACCTCTCCTACCTGGGCAATCAGTCGAAACAGTGGAGTTCAGTCTCCTGGTAGCTTCAAGTCATCGCAATGTATTCTCCGGGCGAGATGAATGGCCCTGAAAGGAACCCCAGGCTTTGAATACTCGAAACTGCACCATATGATAGAGCCAACCTTAACTAGGGCTGAAGAACTCATCAAGTGTACCCTTTCTTCATCAGCCTCTCAGCCGCTCTTTCAGCAATTCCCTCATATTCCAGCATCTCTCCCAGCCGCCTGAGTTCTCCTTTCACGACCCGATACACCTCTCCCTTCTTCGCCTCCTCCTCCTCATCCTCACTACTCTCGCTCTCCTCCTCATCTCCCACCCCAGCAACGTTTCTCGAGAAAGAAGAAATCGACTCCCCCTCCACTAAGGTCCGAATGAAGAACCGGTCATGGCTGACCACCACCAACGCCCCTTCATATGCCCTCAAAGCCTGCACCAGCGCCACGATCGTGTCGGAGTCCAAATGCGTCGTCACCTCATCTAGAACTAGTAGATGCGGCGGATCGAACAACAACAGCGCGATCGCGACGCGCACCTTTTGCCCCCCGGAGAGCGCGAAGATCGGCACCTCCGCCGCGGACTTCCCCGACAGTCCCAAACTTCCCAGGATCTTCCGTCCTTTGACTTCGTCCACCACCCCGTCCGATACCTGGATGAGGTGGGCGAGCGCGGTGAGCTCGCGGTTCTGCTCGCCGAGGGCGGTGAGTTCCTCCGTCACGCGCTGCGAGTAGCGGCCGAACTTCGCGCGTGGGTGCCGGGTGATGGTCCCCTTGGTGGGTTTGACGTCCGTTTTCGTTTCCTCATTTTTCTCCATGATGAGGTTGACTAGGGTGGTCTTCCCGCTGCCGTTCAGTCCGACGATCCCCACACGCTCGCCGAGTCGCACTGTCAGGTTGACACCTTTTAGGACCTCTTTTCTCGGCTGCTTCCGGCCTTTCGACGGGTAGCTGAACTGCACCCCCTCAACCGCAACCAAAGCGCCCGGAAACCTCAAATCGGGCACTTCGGTCTTGATGACGATCCGTGGCAAAAGATCGAACTTGGGTACTTCGATGCCGGCGCGATTCGACAGGTGGTATCCGGCGAGGTCTCGATTTAGCTTGAAGCGGGTTCCTTTGGCACTGACCTCCAGTCCTGTCCGCTCTTCCATCTTCTTTTTCCGGCTGGCAGCCTGCCGTGCTTTCTTGTCATCGCCTTGTCTTCTTGCCGCTTTCATGCTGGACTCGATCGTGTCTTTCATGTGAGCCACTTGCTTTTCCTGGGCACCTTTCATTCGCGTCATCCATTTGGCGTACTTGTGCCGTTGCATCTCGTACCCCGAAAGTGTCCCGCGGAACCGTTCCAGAGAGTTCTCCCGCATCATGAGCAGCTCTTCCGCAATGGCATCGGCAAAGGCGCGATCATGGGTTACCGCCAGGATGGTCGTTCCCTTGTCCTCGGAAACCGAGATCAAGTACTGTTGCAGCCAAATGATAGAAGGGAGGTCGAGGAAGTTAGTCGGTTCGTCGAGCAAGAGTACATCGGCCGGTTGAATGAGCGAGCAAGCAATCGAGGCTCTCGTCCGCCAGCCCCCTGAAAGATGGCCTAGAGGGGCATCGATAACATCTTCCTTGAAACCAAGTCCAATCAAGATCTTGCGAGCCTGACCTGGAAGACTGGACGCATCCATGCTTTCCAGCTCCATCCGTACGCTCTCCAGCATTCCAAACGCATTGTCATGCGCGGAACCCATGTCTTCTTCGTTCGACGCTGGGTCATCCGTGGCGGCCTTTTCTGCCTCAGAAACCTCATTCTCTACTTGGATCAACTCCTTCCTGGCCTTTGCGCCTCGAGCACCGCTCCGCTTCTCTGCAACTCGCTTTGCTTCTTCAAGTTTTCGCTTCAATCTGTCGAGGTTGATTCGGCGGATGGCTTGTACCGCAGCAACCGGGTCCGCCGTTTCTTTTAGTGACGATGACAGAATAGCCTCTTCGTGAAGAAGGCGCTCTCGCCTAGCATCGCTGCGAACGACGTGGTCAAGGAGCGTCTCGGTGTCTTGTTTCACTCGGGATGGTGACAAGGCATCTGATGCAGACAAAGACAACTGAGCAGTAGCATCCTCCAATGGAGCCTCTTGTGGCGAAGCATCGCTTTGAGTTTGGCCTAGAAGTAGAATGCGAATGCTAGGGGGAATTCCTGGGATCAGACTGTCCGCCATGGCCCGTAAAAGCGCTGAAACAGTTCAGTCGCGCCCATATACCGCTGTCACGGCACATCGATGGAGATACACACTGCTTTTCCCAACTCCATTCCGCCCAGCCAGTACATATCGCCGGCCTTCCTTGAGAGAAAGTTCCGCATTCGTCAAGATCTCCTTCTGCCCGATGGAGATAGAGAGGGATTTGACTACCACATCTTTCGAGGTCGGGTCGGATACTGCTTCGGTGTGAAACCGAGATTGCTGGGCAGTAACTTGAATCTGCTGTGGCTTTTGGTGCTCCTTTGTCCGCATTGTGCTGTTTGAACTGTCTTCGGTCTGTTTTCAGTGGTGTTGAGAGGTGACGTGACGTGGAATGAGTAGGGTATGAAACCGATTAAAAGACTGTTAGGTTAACTATAGTTAGGTATGTACTATCTAGGCGGTAAATGAACGTTTATGGGGACTTTAATGGCTTTAAAATCGTCGGATCACTGCTCTCTGCTGATCTCAAAGAGGTGTTTGGATTGGGTCACCGCAATAGCTGTATTGCCGGTTTCATTGGAACGTTATTGTTTAGGTTGGAGGGTTGTAGACATCAGGCATGTAATCGATACTCCCCTCACTTCAAGGCAACATCGACGATGACGGCATACCTTACGATATTATACCATACTAATGAAACCGATTGGCGAGACTGAATATTGAAGATGCGAGGGGCATTTACAGTATTCTCTCCCCATATCTATAGACCCTAAGAGTTTAGACCCAAGTTAACTGTCTCGAGTCCATATTACTTCCGGATAGTCGTCAGGGTCAATATTGGCCAATCAAATCGTGGCATTTGGTGATGTCGCGCATTCGAGGAGCTTCGACTTCCATTCCACACTTCATTCGCATTTCAATTGCCAAAGCAGAACCACAGCACCATAGATTGGTTGCATACTTGAGGAAGCAGACCGAAAGGATCAACTAAACTCCCAGCGTACCGTCCAAGTCGCGATCCCTAGGCGCATACCACACCATGCGGAGGCACTCACTACGCGTGTAGTTGACACTCACCACAACTATGTCCGACGTCGAATCCCCTGGATCTGCGCAGCCCTCCTCGACAGGTCCAAAGTACCCGGCGCCAAAAGACAAGCAATGTCCCTATTGCTACCAACTCTTCACCTCCTCCTCCCTCGGCCGCCACCTCGACCTGTACATCAAGCCGAAGAACGCCAAACCGCCGGACGGGAAGCACGATGTCGAGGAGATCAAACGGATACGGGGGCACATTACGCGTCGACAGCCGAAGTCCGGGCCGAAGAGAGCGCCTGGCTCGTCTCGTTATAATGACGTCTCGGCCGACATGTCCACCCCAGCCTTGCGCGTACCGGCGATGAATAGCATCGTATCCCAGACACAGGAGAATGGCACGTTGGAATTTCCCCGTGCCAGAGCTGTCCCGATGGCACCGCACACATACATACCCGCCGATACGACTGCGCACATGCAACAAGGCGAGACGCCCCACGAGTCGACGAGCCCAACGCGGCCGGCCATGGGACAGAAGCTCCCTGAAATCTTTCGGCCAACGTGGTTGACGACAGGGGTGATTTCCGGACTGCCGCCGCGGCCGGTGAGCGCGTTTGAACATTCCTTGGCGCGTGGCCACGGGTCCGCGGGCGGGACAACGCTGCCGGCTGGGATGGAGAGGGATGTGAAGGAGCGATTGAACGAGCATTTGGAGACGGGGGCGGCGGCGCAGAGGGCATTGAAGGAGATGTGGAATGTTTTGGAAGGATTGAAGTGCGTTTAGCTTATATTCCCGATGCTACCAGGAACGGATCAGAAGGATGGACTAACAACATTCCCAGCCAACCGAAGCCTCCCGCGCATCCATTTCCCTTCGACCCCGTCTCCCACAACTTTCCCGGCCTGTGCCTCCGAATCCTGGAACCTCCACCGACGCTCTTCTCCGCGACGCCCTTTGCGATGTCGTCATCTTGCTCCATTAGTCCGCCCGGCCCGAATCAATATGATGCGCTGGTTCGCACCGTCCGGGAACGCCTTGCGAACCATAGCGCATGGATGGAGAAATGGTGCATGCAAAAGTCAAGCGATTTGCCGAATGCGAGGAACACGGCGACCGAATCGATGACACCGCAGGACAACCATCAAGGTCCTCATGTGACAGGTCCAGAGGCGGCCATAATCCTCGAGCATGTCGATGTCTCGTATGCACACTTCAGTTCGTTGTCATCGTACGACAAGTCGCAAGCGTGGCAAATCGAGCTGCTGCGCGCGTACTTCCAAACCTCATCCGAGCTCCAGACGACCCGGAAGGAATTAGATACCGCACGCGCTGAAATCGACGCTCTCCGAGATGGTTGGCTAGGTTTTGAACGCGAAGACAAGGACGGCGGCGGCGCGATCCAACGGAGCGAGAGCAGCAAACAATGGAACCAAACCCGCCTCGAACGCGTCATGAAAAACGTCTCCGGCGCCGGCGGACTCTCGCCGCATGCCGCCGCATTCGCAACCCCCCAAAAGGCCAGCATGCGCAGCATTTCAGATGAAGTACATACGCGGCTCGGGATCAACCTGGGGCCGGGCGACAACCATGTGTCCGCGTTTGAGAAGCTGCTGCAGCGGTTTCGGGATATCATCCGCCAGGAAGAGCAGAGTAAACCGCGGGAACCGGAGCGGCGGGTGCTGGCGCCGACGCCACCGGTCGCTGCGCACCGAGTGGCTCCTGGGTACGGAGAGCCAGGGATATCTCCGCCGAAGCGGCAATCTGCGTGGATGAACTCGGATACGAATGGAACGCACTATGATCCTATTGAGCGGGAGTTTCGGGCTCATCGGTTTAAGCGGACGCGGACTGGAGCGGACGGACAGGGGGGAGCACAAGACTCTGAGGATGAGGAAGACTCTGAGGTCGAAGAACCGGAAGAGGAAGAGCATTAAGAACACAGGATACTTACAAAAAGAATGCAAACTTCATTGAGACGATCAGACATAGGAGAGACGCCATGAAAGCAAAGACACGTCTATGCAACCACAGAAGTGCAGCTAGAGGAATAGACCGACGAAAGAGCAAACTCCGAGCAAGCTCCATTGCCACCAACCCAACACATTCAAGTTCCACCCGCTATTCACCACGGCAATCAGCTCCGTAGCATTCGCCGGCTCCGCCCTATTTCTATACTCGTCATAGATGGCCCTAACCCCAACCTCCTCCACCGTGGGCAGCCACCGAATGATCCCATTGAGCACGCTGTTCCCCTGCATCAGCTGGCGCCGATTGTACTGCTTCCCGGTGGTGGAGAGATGGACGAGGCCGGCAGTGATAGGGGGACGTCCTTGCGACTCGGTGGATGGGAGGTCTTGAACGAATCCCGCCACTTTCGCATCGTCGGTGCCGTGCTTCAGCGGATCGTTGTGGACGGTGCCGGTGTTTGAGGTGGATGGATGAACCGCCAACATGTGTTCCCGGCCGATGGTCCCGGTTGAGCCAGCGTCGTGGGAGCCATGCTTCCGTGGATCGTCGTGAGAGCCGTGCTTTCGTGAATCATCGTGGATGATGCCACTCGCACTATTCGCGGACAATGGATGAACCGCCAGCACATTTTCCTGGAGAACCTTATTGATTGAACTATCGTCGTGAGAGCCGTGCTTTCGTGAATCATCGTGGACGATGCCACTCGCACTATTCGCGGACAATGGATGAACCGCCAGCACATTTTCCTGGAGAACCTTATTGATTGAACTATCGTCGTGAGAGCCGTGCTTCCGTGGATCATCATGGACGATACCACTCGCACTATGCGAGAATGGATGAACGGCCAGCACGTTTTCGTGGCCGACAGTTTCGGTGGAGCAAATGTCATGGGAGCAGTGGTTTTGTGGATCATCGTGGACGATCCTACTCGCGCTGTTCGAGGAAAATGGATGAACGGCTAATACGTTTTCGTTGGCCGTGGTTGCAGCCGAGTCTGCGTCACCGTGGGTGGTCAAGGTCGAGTCATCGGCCAATGTGGCAACGAGTTGTCGGCGGTCTCCTGGTTCGTTCCGCCGGAAGATGGACCTGATGAAATCGTAGTTGAGCGGATCGGGAATCGCAGATGAGGATTCACGTTTCGCCGGCGCTGGGTCATCTCGAGCCGTCAAGATAATCTGATGTCCCTTCTGCCACTTTCTAGCGATGCCTTTACGTGGGAACTTCAAGAACATGGGCTGCTGGGCAACGTGTCGCTTGGTTTCGACGGTGATGATCCCGGACTCCCGATCCAGCGTCGCTCGTTCGTCCCCGTACGCGGCCTTCTGCGCGTTCAGGTAATTGACGTTCAGTACATTGCTCGCGCCTTGCCCGAGGCGTCCGAAGAAGTTTTTGACGATATCCACGGCGGGCCGGGGCGGGGGGTCGGAGTCATACTCAACGGGCGTGGCTTGAATTGTAGGGGATAACAGGAGGAGCGGAACTAGGAGTTCTTTATACATGTTGGAATTGGACTGTATGACTCGGATAGAGTATGGATATGGAAATACCGATTACGGCAGTGCTGGAAAGGTTAAGATACGGGGGACTCAGGCGTCGCCCAAAATGCAACCGGACCGAAGACTGCGACGGAACTGGGGAGGAATGAAGATAGGACAGAGCAAAAGATAGAGACATGGTTACGGTATGTGATGATTACCGGTATGGCAGAAAGAACCATGAGCCGAATGGATGGATGCTCTTGCTCTTATCCAGCTGGCAGCAGTGTGATAAACCAGTGTGAAGTATGATTCTAGGAAGGTTCGAGGAACCTGCCATGGTGATATTTCTGGTTCATTACTTGAAGCGCTGAGCAAGTCTTGGAGCTTGCGCTGTCAGATCTGATGTTAATAGCGATACGTGGTTATTTCTATCTAATGTAGTTGTTGAGAAAATTGTGTGCCATGCTTGAGGTTGAATTGGATCATGACGATGCAACAGTTCTCGGCCTGCTAGAAGTTCGAATGGACAGGGGCTCTGCCTGCCGAGTTCCGGGCAAGCCTTATGCCCTTGTTGCCTTATCGGGACCCCCCGCCACGATCTGCGCTTACATTGGCTGGCAACGTGAGGACAAGGTTCCTTACTTTGATCGCACCACCACTTCACCACCATCCTCACACCACCGATCCTCCTCCTCCCACCAGACCTATCATCACTCATCAAGAGATGCCAATTAACAATCCATGTCGGTTCCTGCTGCCGGCCATGGAGCCGAAATGTTGCACCTGGCACCACCATCACCTGAGTTGTGTCCTACTGTAGTCTGGGGGAGTGTAAGTCTTTTCGATGCCCGTCCACCTGATCGCCGCATCCGGAGCCGCGAAAAGGCTACGGAATGGGTCGATGGACGTTTCTACGTATGGTATATAAACCTCTCTCTACATGTCCGTGTATTCAGCCTCTCCATCTCCACTCCAGTGTACAAACAAGCAACGTGACCATTCACCAAACAACGTCTCCTCTCAACTGTCACAACATATAATCAACCTCTCTCCTCACCCAAACCACCAACACACCCCCCTCCCCCCTACACACAATGGCCTCAAGAACTCCCATCATGCGCCTCGTCGCTTCCGCCCGCTCCTACCTCACCGAAGCCCATCCCATGGCTCGCATGCCCGTCACCACCCGCGCCCACGCCCTCAACACCTCCAAATATTTCCGCCGCGCCGGCCGCACCACCGCCGCATTACTCATCGCCATGCCCGTCCTCCTCGGCTGGCCGATCGCCGCCGCCTCCATGCTCAAACGAACCGGGATCTGACTCCATGGCCCGGCGTGGGGCTTGTCGAAGGCGCTGCTGGTTATGGTGGAGGGGTTGGGGGTATCGGGGGAGGACGCCGATGTCGTAAGACGGGGGAGGCCGTGGGAGATTACCGGAATGTCGGATTGGGATTTGAGGAGGGCGATAGAGCAGGCGGAGGATGCGAGGGTGGTGGTCGAGATGATGGGGAGGGATTTTGGGGAATGATATATGGGTTTGGGAAAGCATGCATGGCAATCGGAGTTTATGGTGACGGAAAGGCATGTCTGTCGGCAGGAACTGGACTTCTTCTCGGTTCTCATCGAATTTAGAACCATTGGGAAATTCCTGGTATGACGCTTGTCGTTGGAGGTTGGGATCTACTGTATATAGGTATCCCGTTTCAATCCTTCGAATAATGAAGAATATTGATGAATCTTGGATCCATTTCCCGTCGTGATTCTTTTTGACCTAGCAAAGTAGACTCCTTAAAGCTGGAGGCGGTCGTCGATCACCAGCACGCCTCCGTCGTTGCGTATCTTGAATGCCGTACTAAGCCTCGTCATTACATTCGCTTGTTTCATCGGAGCTTGAGTGTGTTGGTGAACAGGCGATGCGCATCTCTCAATGGCTTTGCGGTCGAGTGTCTTGGAAGCCCTTTATCCTCTTGTATAGTTGATATTGACCGTCGCATCGAGTCGTGCCTGGCTCATCTATACCGTAGGCGAAGCTCCATCGATCACATTTTCGTCCCGGTCGCAATCGATCGCTCAGCTTAACATCTTGCTTCCCTCCTCCTGCCTCAACCGAGCTCTTCCACCTTCCACCTCACGATCTTCCTTCATAACGCCCATCATCTCCTCCAAATCCCCCGCCGTCGCCTCCCATTTCTTTTGATGAATCTTCCCCGTCCCATACTCCTTCGTCTTCCCATACGCCCCCCCTTCCTTCCGTCGGTGCTCGATCGCTTTGAGATACGGCGCCGCGGTCGGCGGCTGGACGGGATCCAAGTGGAGGTAATCGGCCGGGATTTGATATGTTGTGTCGGAGTCGAAGGAGCTCAAGTCGCCGCACGCAAGGAATTGGGTCACTTGCGCGTTTCGACGGGCGCGGAACTCTTCGTCGGTCAGCTCCTCGTCGGGAGATGGGTCTTCCATGGGGAATTCAAGGACGTGGGCGCCATCCTCGCGCACGGTGCGACTCGCTGGGGGTTGCACGGATAAATCGTTCTCATGACGGGTTTCCTTGCTTTCGCTCGGGACTTTATTGGTTCCTTCCATATCACCGAGCCATGCCATGCCCAATCCGTTTCTTTTAGCCTGTGCAGTTTCGCCCGCGACGTTTTCCTTAAGTCGCTTCATGGCCGGATCCCACAGCCCGTAAAATCGGAGCGACTCTTCCGAAGCCAGTTCTCCTTCCTTCGGTCTCGGTGGCACAATGTTTCCATAGCCGAGTTTCATATCCAGGCTGGGTTTGAACCCGTCCGGCAGGTTGAGCCCTTCACAGACCACGAATGCCTCTAAACTGCTCGACCGGCTCGCCTTGGGCTTGGCGATGGTGACGCGCTCAAAGACCAGGCTCATCTGCGACCAGATGAACTGCGCGTTCGTGGTCGAGCGGAAGATTTTTGCCACGAACTTGCCCCCGGGTTTGAGGATGCACATCGCCAGGGTCAACGCGGAGTAGAGCAGCTGCGATTGCACGTAGATGTCCATGTCGTGGAGGCCGGTGACATCGGGGGCTCCGTCGCATAGGACGAGGTCGACGGGATTGGTCGGGGTGTCGGGGTTGCTCGTGTCACGGCCGGGGTCTAAAGCGTCAAGAAGGCGGGGGATGGTGCTAGGATGGGTGATATCGGCGCGGATCGTGGTGATGCCCTCGAGCGGCGACATCGGCTGCAGATCGACTGATACGATCTTGACATTTTTCGCGGTCTGGGATTGCTCATCGCGACTTGAGACACCGGCATCGTGCTCTTCTTGCATCTGTCGCTGGAGTTCGCAGCCGAGACAAGGATTCTTGCCATGAGTGGTGACCGGCTCGCGCGGTACGCTCATCATGTGTGGAGGGCCCTCCGGTGGACAGGGCATCTGGAAGTCCTCGTCATCCTCGGCGATATTCCATAGCTCCATCAGGCTCATGTTTGCCTTTTGTTCTTCCGTGAATGAATCTGAATATTTGGGAGGCAGGTCCCACATATAGTCAGGAATATCTTCCATGTTTTCCCGGAGCCAGTCGTGCCACGAACGTTTTCGTCTTTCGTCCGGGCTGAGCCGTTTCCATGTGTCCCATGTGTCCAATGTTGTATCTGTAGGTGTCGTTGGCTCCATCCCCGATGGACCCTGCCTTTCAACGACTTTCTTTCCTTCTTCTACTGAAAGCGTCTCCTGAGCTGGTTCTGGATCCCGCTCTTCGAGGGGTAACCCCTGCTCTTCTAGTATCCGGTTACGGCATCGTCTACAGGAGCCAGGTAAACGAGGATTCTTAGGCCTAGGAACCCCAAGATCCCAATCCTTATGGTCCTCCAGGATGTCCCTCATGACCAACAGCTCCTTCAGGGCGCGGTCGACATATGCCGCCCGGCCAAATCGCTCCCCTTTGATCAAGACCCGAGAGAGCACCTGGCTCCAGCTCCCGGGGGCAGCACATAAGTCCACGACACGTGTCACACCTTCGAAGAGATTGAATTCTTCGTCCAGTTGTAATAGCTTGAAGGCACTGCGTGCCCGCCATCCTTGCTCTTTCGCGAGACGATAATAGATATCTCGCTTGTCCTTGGAGGACTTTCCCATCGTGAATCTATAGAAGAGTTTTGTGAGATATGGGATAGACTATGGGTTATAGGGTGATATCATCGTCTATAAATTTTTATTCTAACCAGGGAGTAACAATGGATGTGAGAATGAGGAACTACTGAGCGTCGTCGAGTCTCTAGTAGAAATTCAAACTGGAAATTTTACGCGGAGCAGGGTCCGTGCGCCCGGCTAAACTTGAAAGAATGAAAGTTGAAGCAGAAGAGTTGAGGCACCCCAATGAAATTTATTTCTCGACATATTTCCGTCATCTTGAACTTTGAAACAAGAACCCGAATTTCAAGAGCGCCCTGCGTTCGTCGACTCTCCAATAAACATGACGACCTTAGAAGGCAAGAAGCGAAAGCTTCCGCCGAAGGTTGCAGCCATGCTCGCACGTAAACGCATGAAACTTCAACCCGGATCCTCCACTACGCCGAAAGTCACAGCGAACGAACCGCGACCTTCGAGCGAGCTACGTGAGCGAGGCAAGACTGTGAGGCTGGATCAGCTGAAATGGAAGGAGGTAGAACTGCCCGATCGTTTGGACGACTATGAGGGTTTCTTCGGGTTAGAAGAAGTCGACGATGTGGAAATTGTTCGAGATGCTGCCGCCAGCACCTTGACTTATAAGACACATACCGAGAACATCCTTTCAGATAGGGAGCGACAAGAACTTCAGAAGCAGAAGCAGAAACCACCGCATGAAGATTATGAAGATAAGGATGTCAATGAGGAAAGTCCACCGCCTGATGCTGCCGGCGATGATGAAGAAGAAGAAGAAGAAAAAGCCGAAGTCGACAACGAAGAAGAGTGGGGTGGCTTCGACTCAGATTCTGCAGAGGACAATGACATGGAAGCGGACGAGAATACTGGTGACTTTGGGATAAACCCATTCCAGGGTTTAGTGGAAGAGTCTTTGGATGCTAGTAACGGCGTTGATGTCAGCGCATGGGCGCAGCTCCAGCTCTCCCAAGATTCGTTAGCTTCATTATCCCGATTGGGCTTTGCGAAGCCGACAGCAATTCAGGAATTATCCATCCCTGAGATAATGGCTGGCCGTGATGTCATTGGAAAAGCCTCCACAGGTTCTGGCAAGACGCTCGCATTTGGCATACCTATTTTCGAGCGAATCCTCGGCCAATCCACCGGCGACGAGCATCCCGAAACCGAAACTCCAAGCGAAGAACACACCCCTACTGCCTTGGTACTATCGCCTACGAGAGAACTCGCACACCAAATTACCAAACATCTTCAGCTATTGGCCTCGGGCGTCCCGAACCGCACCATACGTGTCGTGCCAGTAACGGGAGGCCTCTCGATCCAGAAGCAACGTCGCTTACTGTCAAACGCTGACATAGTCGTCGGGACTCCCGGCAGAATGTGGGAAGTCATGGGTGATAGCAATGGTGTCATTGACCAGCTGAAACGCATTTCATTCCTGGTCGTGGACGAAGCGGACCGACTGCTCAGTGAAGGGCACTTCAAAGAAGTGGAAGATATCTTGGATTCGCTCGACAAGAGCACAGATGAAAATGAGACCGTCTCGCAAGAATCGACCCGTCAGACCCTGGTCTTTTCCGCGACGTTCCACAAAGGACTGCAGCAGCGACTGAAAGGGAGCAAAAAGAGAGATACACGATTCCTAGACCCAAAGGAGTCGATGGAGTATCTAATCAAGAAACTCAGGTTTAAAGAAGAGCGGCCGAAATTTTTGGACGCGAATCCAGAGGAACAAATGGCGGAGAATCTGAAAGAGGGAGTGTTGGAATGCCCGGCGATGGAGAAGGTAGCTGCCACTGCTCTCACTCAAATTCAAATCTCTAACATCATCACAGGACCTATATCTATACGCTACTCTGCTCTTGAATTCGTCCAAACGGACAATCGTCTTCTCGAATAGTATTCACGCTGTTCGCCGAGTGACAGCCTCCTTGCAAGCGCTGAATCAACCAGCTGTAGCTCTCCATTCCCACATGCCTCAAAAGGCGCGTTTGCGCTCCCTTGAACGATTCGCAGCAGCCGGCGCGAACTCAAAGTCCGCCGCTCGATCAATCCTAATCGCCACCGACGTGGCAGCACGCGGTCTCGATATCCCAGACACGGAAACCATCATTCACTACCATGTTCCTCAGACAGCCGACTTCTACGTTCATCGGTCCGGGCGGACGGCCCGTGCCGGTGCGAATGGGAAGTCAATCATGCTCTGCAGCCCTGAAGAAGTAGGCGGGGTACGCCGATTGATCCACAAGGTGCATCCGAACAGCAAGTCCGCCATTCGCTCGCTCGGCATTGACCGACGACTGGTGGGGAAACTGAAGGGGCGATTGACGCTGGCGCAGAAGATCGCGAACGCGGAACTCAGCAACGCGAAGGAGAAGGTGAATGACTCGTGGGTCGATCAAGCGAAAGAAGACCTGGGGATTGACAGTGAAGAAGAGCGAGATTGGGCGGAGAAGGAGGGTAGAGGTCGTGGGTGGCAGAAGAGTGAGAAGTCGAAGGTCGGCTCGGCGGAGCTGAAAAGTTTCCGGAGGGAGCTTAAAGCTTTGCTTCAAACGAAGATCAATACGGGCTTTAGTGAACGGTATCCCACTACAGGGGATATGGATATTGAGGAGTTGAAGCGGGGGCTGCATGGTGACTTCATTGGAAAGGTTCCTAATCTGGAGTGGAATTCCTAGAAGAGTTCCATAGCTTATCGAGATCTCCTCAGGCAATAGAATGATTGGCTTTGGAGTCGTGCATCGAAGAAAGGCGTTGTGTTCTGGTAATCGCAGCACCCAGATGAGTGTTCGGGATTTTAAACACCGGCATAATTGAGCACATTTAAGCCCTCAGCGTATATCATCTAAAAGATCTCATTGAGACTATATTTGCCATATTTCGATATTGGGTGAATAGAGGCATTGCTGTTCTTCCAAAGCCATCTCGGATATGTATTCTGTCCTGTGGCGGTGCGTATGTTGTTCTGGCAACGGAACGCGTTCAAAATCCATGTGGCGTCATCACATCAAATTGTCATATCAACTCTCAGCTGCTTGAATCATCCCCATGGACACAAATCCGTGGTTCACTCTCCTCAGATATCACATCGGTCCCAACGCTCGACTGTCTCAGGATTTCAAATAGAAAACCCGCCCGCGTAAGGTTCGTTGCGAAACTAGCTTTGTCGTTTGATATGAAACTATACTGAGCTAATATGACGGATAGGCAAGCGCTTGAAAAGGAACTTGATCGTTTGACGCAAAAGTACCAAGCCAACAACGCGAACAAAGAATCCTCGTCCCCCAAACACGACTCCTACACCTAAACTTGACCGAAACCTCCTCGTCTGAATCCCGAGGCCAGAAAAACGAGAAATCCTCATCCCCAAAACACGACCTTCGCTGGCACCGAGCTCGACCGAGACGTCCTCGAATTCTGCTCTGCACTCAGTTAAACAGGGTCCGCAAGAAGGAACTGAGGAAATATACAACACAGTCCAAGTCAGAAACGGGGAGACTATCGTTGAACACCACGATCGAAGTGTACCGCGCTCTTCTTCCACCAGCACACCGGATTTCGATGCCAACAGCCCTTCTGGATTCCTAGCATCGATTGCGTCGTATCAGTCGTTATCCGACAGTCTACTCTTCGTGTCATCATCAAAGGATAGTGCTTCCAATACTTACGACGAAATGGTGAACGACCGGGAGCCTCCGCAGGCATACTCTTCGGGGAAAGCGTCAGCAACAAATCCTGGACCAGAACAAGACCCCTCTGCACGGAACGGTTTGAATTCATCAGGCGCAATGGGCCAACCTAAACATGATAACACAAGCAAATCTATGCCCAAGTCGCCCAAAAGAGATCCCCTTCGAGAAACGGTCAATGTCCAGCCCGTGTTTGGTCAACCAACGCCGCCAAAGAATCGGTCAGGGGGAATGTCGCATCTTTTTAATGTGCCGAAGCCTGGCCAGCCTCGACCGGAACATCACCGACCTCAGCAGACACAAACTCTGAATGCCTCTGCCGGTGTTCAACCTGGAACGGCTGCCTACGGTGCCGCCATGAACTCAGCATTAAACCCTACAAATTCGCAGCGACCGGGTTCCAATGGACTCCAGCATGGCCACTCAGCCCCAGCATTCAGATACCCGCCCGGGTTTGCACCAGCTTACACACCGGCTATGAGCCAGCAGCCCACCGCTCACCAGAGGCCAGTCGCGATTCAAAGGCCCTCAAATCCACCATACCCTTACCAACCAGCTACGAAGCCTGTATTCTCAGCCCACGCCCATGGCGGGTTCACTGCAGTCAATATCCCATCGAGAAATACCATTGATCTCACTGGTGATGGTGACGATGTTTACGGCGGCTTTGACCCTAACAAAGCTTTTGGTGATGACAAATTCGGCGCACCCGACCCATTCCAATATAGAGACCCCGATCAGGCCGACAAGGACCTGAAAGATCTTCTCTCCGGACATTTCGGCGATGATGAGGATGTGCCCAAGCTACGGCTGCGGAAGCGTAAAGTTGCGGCGGCCAAGAAAGAGGAAAAGAGGACAGGTGCTGATGCACTTGCTGCCAAGCTGGGAGCCCTCGATGTTAAAGACAAAGAGGAAGAGAAGAAGGCGGAAGAGGATGAGGATGAGGACGAAGAGGACGGAACCGTGGATGGTTTGGCGGTAAAATTGCTTCCTCACCAGGTTGAGGGGGTGGCTTGGATGATCGACCGCGAGAACGGTAAACGCAAGAAAAATGGGGTGCTCCCAAGAGGTGGAATTCTTGCAGACGACATGGGAGTCGGCAAGACGATTCAAGCTATTGCACTGATTATGACCAACCCACGTCCTGTAGCGGAATTATCGGCAGCAACGAAGCCGACTACGAAGAAGGACAAGATGCCTTCCTCTATAAGCAAGTGCACACTGATAGTTGCGCCGGTTGCCGTTGTCTCGCAATGGCAGGAAGAGATCAAGGATAAAGTTTCTCCCGGACATGCCCCTCGCGTATTGGTTCATCATGGGGCGAAACGGAGCAAGTCGGCTAAAGAGCTGGAGAAGCATGATATCGTCATTACAACCTTCGGGATCCTTCACACGGAGCACGCAGCGTCGTCTAATGAACCTGACGGGCCGAAAGCTCCGCTCTTCGGTGTTCGATGGTACCGTGTCATCTTGGACGAAGCACAGAATATCAAGAATAGGTCTGCGAAGTGCACTCAAGCGGCCTATGCTCTCGATAGCTGGTACCGCTGGTGCCTCACCGGAACTCCGATGCAAAACAACTTGGACGAGCTTCAAAGCCTAATCCGATTCCTGAGAATAAAGCCATACAGCGATTTTAAAATGTGGAAAGAGCAGATCTCCGGTCCTCTGAAGAATGGAAGAGGGAACCTTGCCATGAAGAGGCTTAATTACTTTTTGAAGGCGATCATGAAGCGGCGGCTGAAAACCATCCTCCAAGAGCCAGGGGCGTTAAGTTTTGGTAAGAAAGCCGAGGACGAGGAGCACAAGAAGAGCGCGTTCACAATTGTGGACAAGACCGTCGAGATTATCGAGGCGGAGTTCAACGAACGAGAGCGTCGATTCTATGAACGCCTTGTGGACCGGGCACAAGCAAACTTAAACCAAATGATGGGTGCTGAGCGTAAAGATTACATCGGAGCGCTTGTCCTCCTATTAAGACTTCGACAAGCCTGCAATCATCCAGACCTAGTGGGAGAAGTTCTTGACTCTGAGCAAGATGCTCTGGACGAAGTGCAAACAGTTCCACAAACTCCGAGGAAGACCACAGGCCAGAGCGAGGATATTGATGACCTCGCAAACATGCTGGGCGGACTGAGTGTTGTCAAAAAGAAGTGCGACGTTTGTCAGATCACAATAGCCCCCGAGGCAGTCCGACGAGGCGAGCTCCGATGCGAGGAGTGCGAGGATGACCTTGCAGATCAATCACCGCGAGAGGACTTCAAGAAGGGGAGCAGCAAACACGGTTCGAAGAAGTCGGATAGTCGCCGAAATCGCAGAGTGGTCTTGGATAGTGATGAGGAGGAGGAGGAAGAGGCTGACTGGGTCGTGCCCGAGTCGGAACGCCAGGTTGCAGACCTAGGGAAAGCTGGCGGGACAGATGATGAGGATGTCGAAGGCGGAGGTGAATCGATCAATTCGGAGGACTCCGATACAGATGAAGAGTCTGAAGAACGAACTAAACCGTCAAGAACACGTCACCGGGGTCCCATTGAACTCTCCAGTGGCTCAGAGGGTGATTCGGATGAAGATGGGCTGGAGACAGTAAAGTGTCCCATGACGTCAACCAAGATTCGGTATTTGCTGGGCATCCTCGAGAAGGAAACTCCGGAACACAAGGTTATTGTGTTCTCTCAATTCACGAGCATGCTGAACTTGATCGAACCGTTCCTACACAGAAGCGGATATCGTTTCGTGCGATATGACGGGAGCATGCGGCCGGACGTTCGAGATTACAACATCAATCAGCTGCGTAACGACAAGAAGACGCGCATATTACTCTGCAGTCTCAAATGCGGCGGTGTTGGACTGAACCTTACAGCCGCTTCGCGAGTCGTCCTCGTGGAACCTTTTTGGAATCCGGTAAGTTGAAACTCCCTCATGTATCTCACTGTGTGATGGACTTTGTCTAACCTTGGGGGAACAGTTCGCCGAGTCTCAAGCCATTGATCGAGTCCATCGCATCAATCAAACCAAAGCAGTCCATGTGTACCGGTTAACCGTTGCCGACACTGTAGAGGCGAAGATCCTTCGGCTACAAGAAGCAAAGCAGGCTCTTGCAAACGCAGCCATCGAAGGCGGCAGCCGCAAGGACGCGCAGAAATTGAGCTTCGAAGACATATTGAAGCTTTTCGGACGCGATGCGGAGACCAAGCATGACGAGGAGAATCGCAGGTACGGGCGAGTGGATGAGCGCTTGCATCAGGCGGGTTCCCAGGCGATTGATCTCGTGAGGCAGGTGGCCCGGACGGGTGGCTCTCAGGGGCGGGCCGAGAGGGTAGAGCATCCGGTATACGGCAGGAGATGAGACGCGAGATCAAATGATCTAGCGTTTAATCCTTTGCTAGACCCTCTCCTGCTGCTGGCATCTTGATGGGGTTTCCGATTCGAGACTGTCTGGATATATGGTCAGGCGTTGGTTATGGACCTGGAGCGACTGCGCACGGAAGACTTCCAAATGACTTTATGACATCATGTAGATTTCGGTTTTGCATATTCAAGTTTCTTTCCCTTTGGTACAAAGTCCATTTAGAGCGCCCTTCTCGGCATCAATTTTCAGAAATACAGAAGCCCATTAGAGTCATAAATCCCTTCTCGCCAACCCCAGTCCGCGTTCATGAAAATTTTGTAATCGGCTGCTGCTCTCTCACACCGTTGATAAATATATCCACCTTCTCGTTGAAGAAGCAAATCATCCCCGCAATCGCAGTGCTCTCGAGGGTCGGACGCTTATACGACCAAACGAAATCCTTTTTCTCCCATCCTCTTCTCCCGATTTCGAACTCCAGTTCTTCGCCAGGGGGTGCCGTAGCAACTACATGGTACCAGGAAGCCTCACCTTTATACGGGCACCCAGTCACGAGAGTGCTGGGTCTGAGGGTGGTGGTCGAGGTGAGGCTGTGAAGTGGGAGGTAGTAGCGGGTGGGAAGGGAGGTCTCTAATACATGGACGGAATAGTTGGTCGAGGCAAGGAGGGTGCCGTGGTATCGGACCTCGATTTTCCGTGTGGATGGGAGGAGATCCACACGCTTGAAAGGGTCTTTGGGATGAATATAAATGGGGAGATCTTCTTCGTACCATTTCTCTGGATGGATTCAGTCAGTCATGGTCGATATGTCGTATATCGGACGCCCAAGGCGACTGATGCTTGGTTAATGGGGAGCCATACCCATCTCGTTGAACGGCAACCGAACATAGTCCAGCTTCCCTCCTTCCAGCATATTCCTCATAGTGAAGATGACAGCATGGTTCGTGACCTTCTTGACATCTCCTTCCGTCACCGACAAGGTCCCCCGAAACGCTCCTAAATCCCCCGAGGAATCCTTGATCCCCTGGCTCTTTTCCAGGACCAGTTTCGTTGGTCTCTTGATGATGTCCTCCCGCGGGACATAGTAGTATGGATAGTTCTCATGCTCCCACACCTGCAGAGCACGAATGGTGTCGAATACTAATGTGTTGTTGTAATGCACTCGGATGCGCCGAGTGGACGGAATGACCTTGAGCGGTCCATCGTCCAGGAGTTTTCCCGCAAGGACCAGGATCCTGCAGCGATGTTAAAATCGCGCTCTATTAATGCATTTCGAACTTGGAAAACCTACTTATCCCAAGCTGGATCAGATGAGACGGCCATTTTGGAAAATTGTCAGGATTCTTTATCGAGAGTTCAAACATTCAGCGATAAAATTCCATCTTAAATCAATGACGGACAGAGCTGGCGTTGCTGACGATGCGAAGCTCGTATGTCGGAATCCGTCCCCAAGAGTCCGATCCGTCCTTGAACGGACTAGGTTGGCATCATGATTGGTCTCGATTCCCTGAAATGATGACGAATCTGCAGCTACGTCAACTCTGGAGATCGATTCTACACCAAAAACGATGCGTTCTCGGGTGGTGTCGTGGAGAAACGTCCAATTATAGTTGCAACTACCGTAGTTATATTACCCACCGGGATTCAGTGGCCCAGCACAAGGAAACCAATATAGCCATATGTACAGCCCTGTAGAGGGGAACCACCATTTTAGTACTCCATCGCCTCCTCGAACAATGCAGTTAATGTTTCCTTATCCTCTTCTTGCACCCCCGACAAACCCGGAGCCAACATCAAAACTCGTCGTTGAGGCAGTGTCCCTTCCACCAATACGTCAATGTCCGACCTCGTGTATCCCACCTGCTTCAGGCCACGTGGTTGATCCCCCAGCTTAACTAGGAACTCCTTCAGTGCCTCCGAGAGCACCTCGCCGGCATTCTCCTGTTTGACATTGCTTATATCAACTCCAAAGCACTCGGCTGCAGCAAGATGTCGGTCTGGATTGCTCGGACCTGTGAAACGGAAGACTGCCGGGGCAGTCACTGCCACTGAAACACCATGCGGGATCAATGGTGTCGACACATCATACCCGTTGTGCATATAACTGCGATTCATGCCGCTGATGGGATAACTCATACCATGGCAGAGATGCACGCCCGCATTTCCGAACCCCACACCAGCTAATGTCGCAGCAAGAAGCATCTGCTCCTGTGCCTCATAGTCGTCCGGATCAGCCACAGCCCGCGGCAGGTACTTGATGACCGACTTCAGCGCTTGCAAGCTGAATATATCGCTGATCGGGTTGGCACCCTGGTACGCCGGTCGCTCAATTGGATTGGTGGGACGCGGCCTCCGTTGCTGATACGGAATTGCCGTCCAAGACTCTAGCGAGTGGCAGAGAACATCGAGTCCAGAGCTACAGGCGACTGCAGATGGCATAGTACGCGTGTTCTCCGGATCGCAAATGCCCAATGTCGGCTTCATCGCCCGATGGGCGACTCCAGTTTTCGTCTGGTGAGAGGTGAGATCGAAGATCGCGGTACCGGTGGTTTCGGATCCTGTCCCTGCGGTGGTAGGGATCGCAATCAAAGGCCGCAATTTACCGCGGATCGGCAGCCCTTTGCCTACAGGAGCATTGACAAAGTCAAGGAGATCGGCATCTATGGATTGGCTCAGCATGGTGAAGGATAAAAGGCAATACTAGGGCCTCATACCTGGATTACACGTGTACAAGTTCATCATCTTGGTTGTGTCCATGGCTGATCCTCCTCCCACCGCAATAAAGAGATCCGGGTTGTACGGCTTCGCGGCAGCAATGGCGTCCTTCACCGATGCCTCCTTCGGCTCCACTCGACACGTTGTGTACTCCTCCCACTTCACGCCCTGCTGTGCGAGGGCCTTCCTCACGTTCTCCATTACCGGTAACTTCGCGACTCCTGGGTCCGTCACAAGCATTACACGTTCAGCACCCATGTTCACAACGTCCATCCCTACCTCCGCCGTCGACCCCGGCCCGAAGCGGATCGACGACGCCGCGAGCTCGAAAGCATAGTCGGGGAGAGGCGAGGGCGTTGCAAGGCGGCGGAGACCTTGAGCAAGGCCATTGGATCGCGGTCGTGGTCGGTGCCGGTGGAAGTGAGGAGACGATTGAGTCTGGTGATAGGTGGGATTGGAATGGCAGGGACATGACGGTGGGTGATTCTGAACCGTCCGGAGAAGGTTGCGTGCCCGGACTGCCCGCGTGGGTGCGATTCGAACGGCAGGCATCTTACAAGAACATATGAGGCTTAAGCCACTCGAAGCAATCGACTTGGACGGCGAAACGATCGATGACACACGTATCACCAACTGTGTGGGGGATGAGTAGACGTCGGAGTATCAGGAAGGCTAAGGAAAATTGCCGTGCCGATTACAACATCACGGCTTGTATTCCGACATCGCCGAATACGGATAGGTTCCTCTCGCCCAACTCCGAGGTGTAGAACGCGTAGTGGAGCCTTCAGCCATTAGCGTCACCAAAATCACAATGGATGAATGGGTGGATGGATAATGGGCGATGGTAATTCATTGCGGGGAACCCAAGTTGGGGAGCGGAGAACCGGAGGGGAAGCTGGACACATGCATGGATGGACGCGAGGCACTAAGGCAGATATCATTATCGACGTGAGCCGAATTGACCCCTGAGTTTGAACGACTTGGACATATGAATTCCTCGACAATTATCAGTTTGAGTTGGTTCCTCCGCAATTTAACGGGTAACCCGGTTAACTTTAACATGCCGCCATTAGAAACAAAGAAACTGCACAGTCAAGTGCGTGATCAGGACCCTCTACTCCACGCCAACTCCCAACCACCCTCGCCCCTCGTATTACACAGGACTCCTCCATCGCTCGTAGTGCAGTGATACCGTCCGCCTAATACCACCGCTGAGCAAAGTGCATCCTAGCCCCACCGATGTCGAACACGCTAATCACATTCTTCATGAACGGTCCACCAAGAACATTAATACCCTGAGAAGCGTCCGCGAAGCCGGTGTAACAGAATGGCTGTCCTCCGGTGCCAGTCCCATTCCATTGGAAGATCATATCTTGTGGCGGGATCTGCAGCATCTGTCCGCCGATCTGGAAAGCGAGATACGGTACCGTAGCATTGCACTGGACGTGATAGAGCCCGTCGAGCCAGTTGTATACCGCGGGCGGTTCATAGGCGGCGGCAATGGCCTCGGAATAATAGGCCGGCAGGTAATTGAGAGTGGTGCCCGAGTCGACGATGAACTGAATCGGGAACACGAGGTCGACTGGCGCCCCCTGGCGCGGCCGAAGAAAACGCTTCTCAATCTTGGGCTCTTGCGGCTTGGAGTGGGCATTGAGGAATTTGGCGCTTCGACGGAATTTGCGAGAGTCCGACAGCTTGCCCACAGCAATACCCTGGATACCGATGGCATAAAAGGTGAATTCTTGATTATCCGATGGCAGCAACTGGAACAGCTCGATCGGGGTTACCGCCCATGGGGAATGGTATGCGACTCCTGGGGGAAGACCGCCAATAGCGATGACGCCGCCTTCCGAGATGGGTTGACTGGTGCGGTCGAGTGCAATTGAGAAGAGAGGGTCCGTTTTCCGAGTCCGGATGAGACTGAACATCAACGACTCATAGTTCTGCCCGTTGCCACGGCTCACATTGCCATTGGGGAACGAATTGGTTAGTTCAGGATATGCCAGTCCCATGAGTCCGCTGGATTTGTTGTCTCCGAACCAAAAGGCGCGGTCAATGATAGCAATCTGCTGTTTCTCCACCTCAAGGCCTCCAAGGGCCACGTTCTCGTGCACGAACTGCCCATCCAAGAATTCGCCGTCCGCATAAGATATATTGAACGTGAGTCCGGGAACCGACTGACTGGTTGGAGAGGGGGTGTAGGCGGGACCGAAAAGGCAGTCATCTTGACCGATGTCGTGACCAAATCCATCGTCACAGATGTAATGCTCCGAAGCAACCCAAGTGTCGCTGCTGCCTGTGTCCATGATGAGGTCGAAGATTTGGCTTCCTATGGCCAGTTTACTGGAGTAGATGCGGCCCTGCCTGATGGCTATGACGGCTTCGGAGAACGGTGCTTGAGCAGCAGGGGCACGGTTGACGGCAAGCGCGGATTTCAGGAAATTGTGACTCTGAGAGCCGGTACTGTCAATGGCTTCGAAGCGTGCAACGTGGCTTGCTTCCTTCAGTTCTGAGGGACGCGAGAAAGCCGCAGGGCGAACCACATTGACCGGTCTGCCATTCATGTGAGTGAGCTGGGCTGCCGTGGCGAGCCCGCTTAGAGCGAGCAGGAGAGGAGGCAAACGCATGATTGATGAAGCGAGTGTGGTTGAGGTGTAACTGATACAGGAGATGAAGCGAGAGGACTCTAGACAGATGTCTGATGCAAGAAAAAACGAATGGAAGGGTTGAGATTGAACGAATGGATTTTGGAGGTGAAGAGGGAGGTTGTGTGTGAGAGCGAGAGCGGGCGAAGTTAAAAGAAAGAGAAGGAGTGAAAGTGATGGAGGCGTAAGAGGGGGGTGAGGGTGGAATTTTCAGATCCGACGAACTTGTGCTGTGAACTCAGGGCGCAGCCTGCATCTTGCGAGTTTGAATATTAAATCGGCATGGTGACATCCGTTTGCACCATACCGGTAGCACCGAGATGCGGGAAATCGCAGAGCCGCTCGGATCGCTTCATGTGATGTTCCTCTGGGGCACTCTGTACGTTCCCTTCTCTTAGCAGTGGATGACCGAACTTCATGAAACCTGCCTCCAGATCTCTCCACTCATACGAACGGCCTCTACCAAGCCAGAGCTCGTTTTGCTGCTGCGGTCACATCCCCAGATCGGACAAGCAGAATACTTTATGGCCCCATCGCTAATAGTCTTCCACGCTGGAATACTCACGATAAATAATCAAAGGTGGCAGGCCAGGAGTAAGGGAAAAAAACTGTTCCACATGTACCTAAGTTAACTTCCAGATCCACATGCTATCCAGGTACAGCCATGTTCAAACTCTCGTCGCACGACCGAAACCCTTCCCGAGCCGGCAGTAGTGTAATCAGCAAGGGGAGGGATAGACCCAGAATGGCAGCAGATCTGTCTCCCTAGCATCTCGGACCAAGATACGACCGGATGGGGAAGACATTGCATGAAGCAGAGTCGAACTAACCTTGAAACCCTATGTTCTTCAGTTCGAGATCGAATCGGATCACAACAGAAAGGGGAAAAGCAGGCCACAGTAACTAGCGGCTGCTATGTTGTAACTTCTACCCCCTGTCCAACGTTCCTGTGAGGCGTGTTACCCGTGCTGTGCATCTTGCGTAACGAAACGTAGTCGTGGCGCCCCTGATCGTCAGCAAAGTCAAGTGTTTTAGTACGTCCAAGGAAAATAGCAAGCCGCATTGACATATCTCAGTACGAGGTATTGCCTAATCAGACGCCAGTTGGTTCCTCACGCACGTTGTGATGGAGCAAGGCCCCTGGGAAATAATAGTTGATATATTTGTCAAACGCTTATAATACAGAGTAAATACACGTAACATGAAGCTGCGTTACTCCTGTTTGGTCCCCCCCTTCAACTGGGATACCAAGAATGCCAACCGCCCTTTGATGCGCTGCTGTAACAGGGCCACGATCGCGGCTAATCCAGCTGGGGGTGCTTCATCTGCCCCAACGAACCTTCTCACCACGAGATTGAAGATCCCTCCAAAACCCAATGCCATAACGGTACTCGTGAGGATGATCACATTATACGGCATGCTGAAATCCGGCGTTGGGAGCTGCAGAAGCAAGGAAGTCGTCCGCAGGTAAATACCTCGGGACTGTGCTTCGTCCGATGTAGATCGCCGTGGCGATTGCGGCAGAACTCGGATCACCGCAGGCGCAACGTCAAACCCACGATTCGCATCGGGCGGGTACTCCGTGTACCGCAGAACAGCTTTTTCGAAGTCATACGAAATCGTTACAGTTGATGCAGGTGGAATGGTAAGAACCAGTTCTAAGTGCGTCCCACGTGCGCGATCGACGGCTGGTCGATAGTATGTACTTTCCAATGGATCGCTGTCGTGGCGAACGTCCTGCTGATCGTTTGACTCGGCGGTTACACGCAGGGTATGCAGATATGGACGCATGAACCACGGTAGGCTCTCCAAATAAACTATGGAAACCGATAAATTCGCAGACGGGTTCACGATTGTGGACCACATGCCTCCACGTTCGGAGCCATAACCAGTGATGTGGCGGGAGGCGTGTAATTGAGGTGAAGGGAGGGGTACCTCAGTGACAAGATTCTCTGCTGGTAGAAGCAAGTCAAACTCTGCGGCTTCTAGTACGAGTTAGCATGTTACCTATATAGTTATATAGCACACGGACCTGGCATAGAGTAGCATCGAGTCAGCCCATTATCCTCCTTGGACTCGTGGAATGGTTTTTCGGTCTGTACCATCACCGTTCGTTCAAGCGGTACAGTGAGGCAAACTGGGTAAATCGAACTCGAAGGGCCCGTCTCCAGGGGACATGAGCCGTTGATTGGCTTGCCAAAGATATCCTTAAGACTCCATGACGGCTCTGAGGAACTCTTGATTGGGAAACAGGAGTCCTCGCCGCTATATAACTTAGATGTGTCGCATTCGACCTCCTCAATGGGGACCGGCCTTGGAATCGGGTCACCTAGAAAGGTCAACATCTCTCCATTGACTGTGTGAAGGAGGCATACGTCTAGAACGCAATGACCGAGCAATGTCCAGGACCATATCAACGGTTTGCTCGACCTGCAACACACAATTCTTTCCACCTTCGTCACAAATTGGCCTGACATCAATAGCCATGGTCTGCCAAGTCGCGTCAAACAGCTTGTGCCCATCAAAGAGACTCGATATGCCTGCCTTTCCCTTGCATGGAAGCAGCTTCAGAAATGGAGTTAAATTCTCCGTGCATACCACTTCGTGCGGCAGTGTGCCATGAAGGAGGTGGAGGTTAGAAAGTGAGGAATTAGGAAAGATCCCCTCCGGTTCGAAGGTCATAATTGGTCGGATAGTTTTCGTGGAATCGATGAAATTTAAGGAAGCGCAAAATAGCCCCGACAGCGCATTTGTTAAACCAAGCCATCTAGTCTCAGCCCTAACTATTCATTAGTCTATACTCTAGGAAGAGAAGTGAACCACACATACTCATCAGCTGTATCTGCCTCAACCCAAGCCCACAGTTCGACTCCTGTTCCCCCTTCTCTTGCGCCATCCCAAGGACGCGCTCCCCAGCTCTCCGAATCCCATCGTCCTAAACTGAATCGCAAATGAAGTTCCTTCGTGGAGGTGTGCTGCAAGATTTGCCCCAAGGACCGTGGAAAGTATCGGAAGTTCTGCTGGTCAAATGACAAGGCCGACGTATTGCTTCGGAAGTTGAAAGACGCAAGGAGCGCGGAATTAGGGAGTGGTCGAAGGTGGAGCCGTTCTTGATAATCGCTGGCCAAGCAGAGCGTTATGGCCAGTGGGAGCAGGAAAACGAGTGCAATGAGCATTGCGGCATTGGTGCCGTCTTCGGAGCTCAAGTCAGGTCATATCCGTATGAACTGGAGGTGCCAGATACATCGGTCTGGAGTATGAAGGTATGTGGACACTTCACCGTGAGGTTCAAGACCCTGACGACCTGACTCTATCACGTGACCACGCGTCTCCAGGAACTGACTCATGTGCGCCTTGGTGCCTTAGTGCCTCATTCTCACATCTGCATCACATTGACATATCGCAATCCTTCCAATCTTCAGTCGCGAGCTCCTCCGAGAAGTGTCGTCAAAGGTTTAGGTCTAGGGGACATACCATACTAAGCATTTGCGACCGCACATTTAGGACAGTTCGGCGATCAGAAGTACCGCGAGGATGGCGGCAGAACAACGAAAGCTGCTCGGTTCGTCGATTCTTTGCGATCTGGAAATTCATACCGCTGACAGCATGCAGAGCAGCTTATGGGAGAGCAGCTCATGAGCGGACCAGGGACGAGATCGACTCAGTTGCCAATGACAGATCCTAAGGTGTGCCGCTCATACCTCGTCGGTACATGTCCTCATGACCTGTTTACCAATACCAAACAAGATTTCGGTCCATGCTCGAAAGTTCACAGCGAGCCCTTGAAGAACGAATACGAGGCTGCCGATGAAAACCAAAAGAAGAAGTGGGGATTCGAATATGACTATCTGCGAGATATGCAGAAGTACGTCGATGAGTGTAACAGGAGAATAGAGACGGCTCAGAGGAGGCTGGAGAAGACGCCGGATGAGATTCGTCAGACAAATACTTTGGTCAGTGACTGTCACGTACCACCAAAGTTGGGCAAAAGCTAACTTCTACAGCTAAAACAAATATCCGACCTCACCCAAACGATCGATCTCGGGCTGGAGGAGATTAAGATCATGTGTGAAGAAGGACAGGTCAATCAAGCAGCACAGGAGTTCTTCAAGATCCGGCAGTCAAAGCATACCAAAGATGAGCGAGAGCGCGACTTAAAAGTTATATCCGACACGTCTGGGCCGTCCGGTCACCAAAAGCTCCAGGTGTGCGACGTCTGCGGCGCGTATCTGAGCCGTCTCGACAACGACCGACGTTTGGCCGACCATTTCTACGGAAAGATGCATCTGGGATATGCGCAGATGCGAAAAACATTTGACCAGTTGCAAAAGGACCTGAAGGGAAGGGCGCCACCCCAAAGATCAGATCCAGCCGATGGCCCTCCTGGATCAAGGGGTGACTACGATGGCGGATTCGGTGATAGAGGGTATGGGCGAGGGGGGTTCCGCGGTGGCTATGGGCGCGGAGGAGGCTATAGAGGGAGAGGAGGCTATGGCGGAGGCGGAAGGTGGTGAATCAAGCATCTCGTCATTATGGAGTACGGTATGGGAGCACGACTAGGTCAGCTATCAACTGCATGGCGTCTCAGGTTTAATGGCGCATGCGGTTCAATTTCGCGCTGTGTAATGTACTGTACTACGAGCGTGTAATCTAGACCTTGAAGTCTAGGCGATTATCTCGTTCCTCGGATAAAAAATTCAGAAACGATGAATCATGAGCTGAGGGACTTAGTTATCATCAATTCCTGTCTAGCAATCTATCACGTGACACGGCCATGTCATCAAATGTCAAACTAAACTGACGCCTTAGCACCACTTCATGAACGCTGCCAATATCTCCCAACGAACCAAATCGCAAACGCCCCATTTCCACCCACGATACCATCTTCTGTCCCGGTATCGCCTTCTGTACCTATAGGCGCATTCGATTGCCATGTCACGTCGTCCCAATCCGGACCAGGACCGCATCGAGCGGAACAGAGCCACGCTCAAAAGCCTGGTAAAGCTCGAGGCCAACAAAAGCTGCGCCGATTGCAAACGGAACAAGCATCCAAGATGGGCCAGCTGGAATCTCGGCATCTTCGTCTGTATCCGATGTTCCGGTATCCACCGCGGAATGGGAACACACATCAGTCGAGTCAAGTCGGTGGACCTCGACTCCTGGACGGACGAACAGCTACAGAACATGCTGCGGTGGGGGAACGGTCGAGCGAATAAATACTGGGAAGCAAAGTTGGCGCCGGGCCATGTTCCGTCGGAGTCGAAGATCGAAAACTTTATCCGCACAAAATACGAGTCCAAGAGATGGGCGATGGAGGGCGGCATGCCGGACCCCTCAACACTGTCCGATGCCACCGACGACGATGTTCCGCTGAACGTAGTACAAGAAAAGGCGAAATTGGAACGATCAACTTCGCAACGAACCGCATCGAGCGCGATGCCGAAACCCAGGGCGGCCAACATCGACCTATTCGGCGACGATACACCCCAGCGACCATCGACAGTCGAGCCGCAAACCAATCGGCCCCCGCCACCAAAATCACAAGCCGCACCACCAAGACAGACCAAGCAAGCCGATTCATTGCTTGGCCTAGACTTCTTCGGAACCAGCAACTCTGCGCCGATTTCAAACGCAACCTCTCCGCCGCCGGCAGGGGTTCCCTCACGGCCTGATCTCAAGCAGTCCATCCTGTCGTTGTACGCAGCAAAACCTGCGGCTCCTCCTCAACAGCATCAACGACAGCCTTCGCAAGGATCTTTTGGGACACTCACTTCGCCATCGTCACCTCCTGCTACACAATCAGGAGTAAGTGGGTTGGATGATGCATTTAGCGGTCTTAGCTTTAGCAACCAACCCAGTGCACCACCAGCACCGACGGCTTCGCCGTTTGATGCACTGTCATCATTAAGCCCTCGATCGTCAGTAGCAGCTCCTCAAACTACCAAGGCCTCTGCGTTTGGTACCGGGGGAGGCTTTTTCGATGCTCCCAAACCCGCACCGGCCACCACGCAGCCAGTGACCTCTATACCACAAGGCAACTTGGGCGGTTTCGGGGATATATTCTCCTCGACCTCTCCTCCCCCGTCCCAGGCGCCGAAAGCGAGCCAAGCCGACCTTTTCGACATCGGTTTCGATAGCGCACCGGCCCCCCCTCCGAAGCAGACCACCGCTGCACCCAACATCTCTTCCGCGTTCAACCTTTCTAAACCCACGGCCGCCCCCGTGGCTCCGAAGCCGCAAACTGCTCCGTTGACGGATTTCTCTGGCTTCTCGGGCATGGATGCGTGGGGCTCGAACAACGCGTGGGCGACTGATCCAGCACCGGCGGCAAAGCCTGCTGCGGCTCCGGCGGCGGCTCCTGCGGCGTCCACGATAGCGAGTGACTTTGGCGGGTGGGGGATCACGAGCGAGGCGAAACCCACGCCGCAAGTGGCACAGGATGAGGATTTCGGGGGCTGGAACAGTGCGGCGCCGGAGACACCTGGGGTTGGAAATTCGGGGGCAAAACAAAAGGCGTCGGCGGGAGGGTTTGGTGGGCAAGACGATTTGTTTGGGAATGTTTGGAAGTAAGTCGAGCAGGGGAAATTACGTCGAACGGTCCTGTCGACGAGCATACATAGCGATAGATGATGATAGCGTTGTCCTTCCATCCCCGATTCGTGGGTTTACACATCGCCAGAATGAAGAATGCACAGAAGAATGGATATAGAAGTAATGCGTGCCCATATACACATGATGCATGTCCAGTCTCATACAATACAGCCGTGGAGGCGTGGCAGTCGAAGAAAAGCGCCCAACGCCGTGGATATCCGCGATCATGATTTCTTGCCCCCAAAGATGAAGCTAAAGATAAAGCCAAGTATCCAGTACAGTAGCACCACCGTTACCACGATTATGCCTGCCAGCTTGAGGATCGCTGTCTTGTTCCCCGCTTGAGCCGCCCGTCCCAATCTCGTGGCGCTGCCCTTGAGTGTCGTCGACATGTTCGAGAAAACTTCGCTCTGTAGGAAAACAGTCAGAATCCGCTCGATATGTCCGTCTAACCCCAGGACCAAAATCTGCCAGGACGGATGTAGACATACCGAGTTGTCAATTATATCCTGATTCCGAGCATTGTCATAGATATCAATAGTCACGCCCCGAAGAGCGGACACCTTGCCAGATAACTCATCCAGGCGAGAGTTATTCTGCCTATCCTACCGGTAAGCGCCATTCCCCGCAAAACAGATGCGCACATCCACCAACCTTTCCCGTTCATATGATTCTGACATGTCGAAGGCGATGGAGGCGCAGGATGGTCGCGGACGGCTGGTGGTAGGAAACGTTCGGTTCGTGATGGGGGACGGTTTGCGTCTTATATGCGCTGGGGCACTTCGTTCATTCGGGTCGTCGAGCGTGATCGTCGAGAGATTCACGGCATTATTGTTGGAGGTCTGGACAATGAAACGAAGGCGATGTAGATGGAGTTAAACAGACAATGACGATCGTTGGGTCCGGTGGACATTTTGGACCAGGAGCGCAAGAGCTCTGGCGGTTGCAAAATGTGAGAGAACGCTTGGCGTTTTTTTGAGTGTGTGTGTGTCCCGCCCGCAACTCCACCAGAAAACGCGATATCACCCATTTTATGACCAAAACGCGCTGAATTCGTGCCTGCAAGTTGTGAAATTAAAGGGAAATTATTAGATTGAGTTTTATATCAAGTTTTTTATTTTTTATTTAGGAAATGGCACCCCAACTGCGTGGAATTGGTACGCGCAGTACGCGAACGCGCGTCCGGTTTGAAGACGAGATTGAGCGCACTGCTCAACTTGCGAGAGAACAAACAGCTACGAAGAAAAAGAACACAAAGAAGGCGGCCCCAAAGACGGCGGGTAGAAAGAAGAAAGCCCAGGTAGCTCCAAAGAAGATATCGGCGAAGGCATCGTCGTCTAGCATACCCAAGACCGCTAGCAAGACAACACCTCTGGAGCTAGATCCGCAAAGGGGCCTTGCAGACGATGAGGAAGAGCTAGGAGAGGAAGAGCAGGAAGAGGAAGAGTAGGAAGAGGAAGAGCAGAAAGAGGAAGAGCAGGAAGAGGAAGAGCAGGAAGAGGGTACGGTTACTCCGAAACCGAGCCGTAAACGGAGTCGATCTCAAACCGATCAGCTACCGATACGGACACCACCTACGATGACCGGTTCGAAGGCATATGAT